TATCTATCTATCTATCTGTGTACATACTTATATGCACACTAGATGTACTTGTTTGTCATTTGCTTTATGCCTTCATCTGAGGTCAGTTCACCGCCGACCTCATCCCGTTGACACCCCTGGTGGGCAGCGCTTTGGTATGCGGAAGGGGTTGAGTCGGATCTTCAACCACGGGTTCAGGGTTGAGTCGTGGATCCATTTTTTTTTTTNNGTATTGGTGATGGATGCTTCGTGCTACATTTTGTGCTTGCCCTTTCGGCCTTTGAATTCCTGGAGAGCACCTTGGAGCGCTGCTGGGCCGTGAACCCCCCAAACCCCTGAGCCTTTGACATCGCCTTTCTTTGGGTAAACCCGTGCCTTCCTGAACCCCGAGGCCTTAAACCGTAAGCTCGCTGCTCGAACCCCTCGAAACCCTAACAAGGCATCCACTACGGCGGCTACACCGGGCCTTTCGTTGCAGCAAACTGCTTCCTTGTTGGGCCCTGAGTTCATTCAGGGGCGTCCTGCAAGGAGGTGCGGGGGTGATTTAGGATCCAGAGAGGGAACCTGCCTGGGCATGGGTGCAACAAGGATCCTAGCATAAATGGTCTGTACTAGGGTCCTCCATAATCTGAAACCCCCAGCCACCTCTGTAGGAAAGAACGTGTGGGAAGAGGTTTCTAGAAGGTGTGGTGGCTATGTAGGGTCTTTCTAATCATGTAGGGTTTAGGGCTCCGGGTTTGGCAAGACTCCTGCAGAAACCCGGTTGCGGTCACTTTCATGCAATCTAAGCTTTGGGTAGTGGTCCTCCTACAGGAAGAGCCCACAGCATTCCGGAATTCAGAACCCTCAACCGGAAACCGCTGAAGCCTACCCCCTCGACCGTGAACCTCAACCCGTAGCTACTGTACTTTGTCGCTTGAGGTGCTCGGGTTTATGATAAGCCTAGGACCCTAAACCTAAACCGCAAAAGTCTCATCCCTGCGTCTGAAAGCGTCAGGTCCTCTGTCTGGGATTGATGATCTCCACATGGTCAGAGAATTTCGGTCAGACCGCGAAGGACCGGAGTATCTTCGGAGCATGAACTTGCGGTCTTGGGGTGCTTAGAACCTACGGGTGTAGGTCTTGGGATTTGGGTTGAAAATTTTTAATATTTAGAAGATAAAGACAAGAGTTTGGATGTAGGCTTCAAGAATTTCGTTGCAGTCAACCATTGCCAACCATGGCTGGAGGGACAGACATGCAACAGAACGACACTACATGTTCTTGACAGCTAGTTGAGTATTCTAGCTGGCACTTACCCATGCGGCAGCAGCAAGTGGACGAGTAACTCTAAACCCTAAGACCTAGACCCTCAAGCTCAGGCCGTTTGAGAGCGTCTAAACCGCTAGGAAGCTGCAATGGAGCAGACGAAAGACAAGGGCTTCATGGGTGCTGTGAATCTGCACCTTCACTGAAGTATGTCAGCAGAGGTCAGATCACGTCAGCAATTTCCGGGCTGCAAAGACAGATACGGTCTTCTTGGTATTACGGGTCTCCATGTATTGTCTTCATGTTACGGATCCGACCATAGGGTCTTTGTGTCCATGCATCCATGCATTCGTCCATCCATCCTTCCATCCTTCCATCCTTCCATCTTTCCATCCTTCCACCCTTCCTTCCATTCATCCGACTATCCATCCATCTTTCCATGCATCCTTCCATCCAGCCACCATCCATCTTTCCCTCCCTGCCTCCATCCATCCATCCCGACGTGCGTGCACGCGTGCGTGCTTGCAATGACATAACATACGTGTGTGTATGTATTTATGTCGGTATGTAAGTTTGCCGGTGGTTAACTATTTAATCGAAACAGTAAGTATATGTATGCATGTATGCATGCATGTATGTATGTGTGCAAGTCTGCACATCGGTTTGTATCTATTTGCCTATGTATGTACCTAGTATGTATGTCTGTAAATATGTATGTATGTATGTACGCACGTTTGTCAGTAGGTACGTAAGCATGTATGTATGTATGTATGTATGTATGTATGTATGTATGTGCGTATGTATTTATCTGTCTATCCATTTATCCATCTATCCATTTATCCATCTATCCATCTATCCATGTATCCATTTACCCATCCATTTATCCATCTATCCATCTATCCAACTATCCATCTATCTACCCCATCTACCCATCTACCCATCTACCCATCCATCCATCTATCCATCTATCTATCTACCTATCTCTCGATCTATCTATCTATCTATCGATCCATCCATCTATCTATCTATCTAACTATCTAACTAATCTATCTATCTATCTATCTATCTATCTATCTTATCTATCTATCTATC